GCTGAAATTGCATCACTATCCAACACACTTTAATATGGCCTATACCATTCAACAGTTGATGTACACTTGCTCACAGAATCACTAAACTTGATTGCATGAAAAGGAGTTGATTTGGCTTGAAATATCATGATGACTGGGGCAAGTGAAGGAAACTTTTCATTGGCATAGTCCATTGCATTATTCACTTCTGCACTAAGCAGTTATCCTTGAAAGGAAGGATGAATCAGGTTCGCCAGAAGATGAGCTTGTGTTATGACTTGGCCAAACCTCCTTTTTGCAGCAGTTACTGCATCTCTGTCATTGCTTGAAGTTGTGAATAATTCTTTCCATATGTTTGCTGCTTCAGCATTTATACATTTATCTCTGTACTTTGTCCAAAGCCACAGCTGTGGGTCTAGTCGTGCAAGTATGTCCTCTGCTCACTGCTTCATTGTTCAGTTAGACACCTCTCTAACTCTGCCATCAATCTGCTTCCTATTAACTTCACAGTGTTCATGAGAGCTGGCCAGTTCTTTATGTATATCGTCAGACAGTTACACATGGTATTCCATCTTGTGTCTTGAGGCATCACAAGGCATTGTGCACCTTCCTGGTGGTATCTTGCAGAAGCATAGTGATTGTTTCTGGAGTATTTTACTATATACACAACATTCTCTTTAATCTTGCCAATTTTTGGATCATGAGCCAGAAGATTCAGAACGTGTACAGGACGGCCTTGGGTCTATAGCTTCAGTTCATTTTCCAGTTCTAACAGTTTTCTCCTATTGTTTACATTAACCAGTATTATCTCCCACAATGCTACCATCATGGTAACCAAGTTCTTTACACTTATGAATTGCTGATTTTGCGAGCTCTTCTAGACATTCAACTGTATGAGGCTGGCCACTTGTGTCTATTGTATCCACAAGATATGTATATGTAGCCATTTGAGGTTGTCAGAGTAACACATAATAGTCTCATTGTGAACGTTAGACCATCCATCTAGAGACAGGTATAATCATTTCATCCTTCAGCTGTGTGGCACACTTCGCATGTTCTTTTTCATATATCATAGGTAGCAATTTGTCTGCAATTGTTTTTCTTGTTGGAGGAGTGTATTCTGGCCTCATCTTTCCAACCATTTTACAAAATTCAGGATGATCTACCAATCTGAATGAAGAGTTGGTTGCAAAGAGCATCTTACAGACTTCATCAAGGTTTGCTTTTTAAAAAGTTGTCTTTGTCACAAATGTGTCCAGAGTTTTTGAATTACACTCTGAAAAAACTTGGAGAAGTTGGACATTCTGTTATGCTGGAGTTACAACACTTGTTTGAGGCACCTTTGGATTTTCAGTCTTACCTTGGTCATCCAAATCTTCAGGTAATTCAATCAGTAACTGATGACATTTGTCTCTGAGTTTTCATTCTTGCTACTATTCCTTGTAACTCCAGTTTACCCTGTTTGCCTTGTGGTCAGTGACATCTCTACACTCTTGCAGTGAGTTGAGGAATGAGTGGCTGTAACACCCAAACTACTACACAGTGGCTCAAGTCTGGCCATGTCATAACATGATATATACAGGAATAGGAGTCATGACAGAGAGATGATGCAGTCCTGGCCAATGGCTACTAGGCTGCTTGACAGACTCATACACTTTGTAACCAAGTGAGACATGATACAACATGCTATAAAAGCACTACAAAATGTGCTTTAAACTAATGCATAGCATATATAATACCAAATATTTTTATGCTGATAAAAAAAAAGAAAATGTGATTTAAATCAAAAGAATCTGATTTTAATTTGTAAAAAATCTGATGTAAATCAAATAAATTGGATAAAAAAACAACAACCCTGATATTGTATGTAATACCAGCTAGGCTTTAACAATGGCTGTATGTTACGCACTCCCCCCAGTTGGTGTGCTTTCTAATACAGTTCTCACCCTCAGGTCCAGTTGAACTTCAAAGCTTACTGTGAGCCCATAGAAAAGGGAGAGGCCACAGAGACGGACATCAAGAAACTGTGGAGGAACATTGAGCCTCACCTGAAGAAGGCCATGTCATCAGTTTACCTGAGAGAAGTGTCCAGGTAAGAGTGTGTGTGTGCATGTGTGCGTGCGTGCGCACTCATTCTCAGATGGATATGTGAGACAATGAATAAGCAGGATGAATTCTTTAAATTATTGATATACTTTGTGCTTTTATAGGAAAAATGCTGATATATAGTGAAAAAAAGGTATGTCTTAACCATATCAAAGAAGAAAAAATAAAGCACCACATGATTTTTGAAATTTTCTGCTTCAGTTCCCAGTTTGAGAGAATGCAGTCACTGGTGTCTGAGTCCGCGACCTCAGGGGATCTTCCGCAGCTTCAGCCACAAATGAAGTTGACAGGGACCACAAAGGTAGGCTACTAGAATTATTTGTGGTTTACTATTTCAGATTTCTTCTTCTTCTTCTTCTTCTTCTTTTTCTTTTTCTTTTTCTTTGACTGAAATTTATAATGTCAGCTAACAACTTGAATGAGAACACATTTTATTTTCATCTTTGTTAACAATACTTCCCTTTTATTATAATTTTTATTATTATTATTATTGTTGTTATCATTATCATTATCAGACACATAAGACTATACAGAGTCTATGCCCCACTCGACCCATCAGTCCCATGCCCTCCAGTGTTCTCCCTTGCAGGTTGAATTCTTTTCTCCTCTCCTTCTTTTGTCTTCTTCTTCTTCTTTTATGCCTTATTTCTTTTTCATTTTTATTCTCTCATTTTTTTATCCACCATCTCATTGTTTCCTCCATCCCTATTTTCTCCTCTCACATTTTCATCGCCATTTCCTTGTTTTTTTATCCATTTCATCATTTCCTCTATTCCTATATTCTCTTCTTGCATTTTCACCCCTCTTACAATTTGCATATGCCCCCATTTTCTCACTTCTCTTCTCATTCAGATTGAACTCCCCTTCTACTCCAAGTTCCTTCTGATTGCTGCCTACCTGGCCTCGTACAACCCAGCTCGCACAGACCGCAGGTTCTTCATGAAGCACCATGGCAAGCAGAGAAAGACGCAGGCTATGATCAAGGTAGTGAGGAATTGGATGGTAGAGCATGGGATAGTGGGATTGATCAGGAACAGAGGGGGGGATGATGGGTAATTATTAGGGCTTATTAAAACCTAATTTGTTGAATGAAAGATAGCAAGGAGGAAGCAGACTTTGGTGAAGGTAGAGTAAAATTCAGTGAAGTGTGCGGTTGTATGATTGATTGATAAAATTGGATAAAATGATGGATAGTTATGAAGGCCATTTTAAGGTCCAATTAAGTGCATGAATAACAGTAGGTTATGATTAAGGCAGAGAGAAGTGTATTTTGTGAAATTTGTGATTTTGTAATTGGCTTTTAGTGGCAATTAATAAAACAATGGAAAATAGTTTTAGTCTAAGTGAAAAGGCAGCAAGGAAGATAAAACAGTGTGATACATGCATGAGATAAGGAGGAGGCTCTTAAAGTATGACTGTAGTGTTTATGTTAGTAAATGAATAAAATAAAACCCTGTGAAGTATGTGGTTATGATTGAAAGAATGAGGAATAAGATTATAAGTTTTGATAATTATGTTGTTGTTTTTTAGGTTGTGGAGAGCAAACAGAGGGATGGTATAGTGAATGGGCTAATAGTCCAATCCTTAAATGATAGTACTGCTAATTGTAAATTCTCATGATTTGATGATTGAGCTCTTAATTGCTTCATCATTATAGGAATTACAGGTCTTATTTGAACTGCTCTGGTAACAAGAATTCAAAGGCTTTATTATCAGACTTTTTCATGGTTATGCATGACTTTGTATATCTGTTTCTTAGCCATTTATGCTATTACTTGACCCCCTAGGCCAAGGAGCGCTCCAGCAACCAGCTTGTGGGCCCCAAGCCCTTCCCCCTGGAGAGGCTGATGGCCATTTTCTACTCCATCATAGAAGACAGAGTCAGCCCAACTGCGAACATCTTCTCACAGGTACTTTGAGGAGGAATTCTTTTCTGGTTTGGTGCTGAAATTGGTATTTTCCATTTTTTTGTGGTTGTTCTTTATTATTAGTAGTATTGTTGTTGCTCTTGTTGATTTTATTGTTGCCATCATATATTACTATATTGATCTTTGTCATCAACACGCTCATGGTAATCATGTTAATTATTATTACTACTACTACTATCATTATCATCTTTATCTTCATTACCATCACTATCCCCTTTACCTTGCTATATTAGTCATGAAAACCACAGTTGTTATTGTGACTTCTACCAATATCAATGTCAGAACTATCACCATCATTAACATTATCAGTAGTCCCTATCTCCACCATTAATGTTATCAGTTATCCATATGTCCACCTAAACCAGCCTTACTGTCCTTGCAGATCTCGACACTAGTAACCCTAAGGCTGGTGACGCAGATTGGAGGGGAGGACCAGCTGGATGCACCCAAATACAAATGTGCTGTGCCCCTTGACTTCATTAGAGGCATTGCAAGGTATGGATCTGAGAGACTGAGAGATTGATTGGTTGATGAATAGAACAAGTGATTATACAGAGGGTTTGGAGGGTGAGTATAAAGGAGAAGGAATAGGAAAACAAAAGAACTAACATCAATTTTGCTTCTTCCCTGCAGAACTGTTGGCTTTGACATTGTGCGTTACCTCTACGACTATGCTTAAGGCAGGCCCTTTCACCTTAACCCAATGCTGCCGGAGAAAATTAATAAAATTGGGGAAAATGCTGTGTTCATTTTCTATATTTTTTGTGAAATGTCTCTACACATAGATGGCTTTGCTAGTGCTTAGACACAAAGGAGTCAAATTAGCAGACCTTGCAACCTTACCTGATTTGAATTGTCAGGAAAAACATATTTTTTACTAGTGCTTTGAATATCTATGGAGTTATTTTTATTATAAACATTATAATTATTATAATGTTTTAAACATAACTAACAGGAAAATAAGATAATGTAAAATATTTTCCTAAT